CCTACTCGACGAGTTGGAAGGCCCCAACTTGACGAGTAGACACTAGAAAGGAAAACCCTAATTTTCAGGGTTTGCACCCTATTTAAAGGCTTTAAATCGCATGGTAGCCTCTCTCATCGTCCTCCCAGTCCATAGAAACCCTAAATCGTATCTCATATCCTATTTTTCATTGTGTGTGAGTTAAAAGAGTGTGTTTCCTTGGTGTTTCTTGAAGGAGCTGAAGTTGGTGGTGCATAGTTGAAGAGAGTAGCTTTAGATCCGGGGATTTCTCTGTTGTGACAGCTATATTAAGGTATAAAGTCGATACCTTGGCTATTCTTTTGTTAGATCTCGTCCCTTGAAATATTATGGCCATTATTAGCCTATTTTGGAACCATTCTTGGATTTGGGCATGTTATGGAGTTATGGCTTCAGATATGGACATCTCATGGCCTTTGTGGACTTAAAGTTGCCAACTTTATCAAGTCTTGGCTCCCCTTCATACTCTAGGTCCCTTGATAAGCTTTGTTTGAGCATTTTAGCTCTATGATGCCTTGCATGGATGTAAACCTAGCAACTTTATGTGGCATCTTAACCATAGGGGACCAGATCTGTAGTTTGGGGCTTTAGATTCGACTGGAAGGGGCTGAATATGTTAAGACTGGGAAAACTCGACGAGTTGCCCTGGCAACTCGACGAGTTGGATCGGGTTTCCCCGCCTTCTGGATACTGAGTGAACTCGACGAGTTTATGAGTTAACTCAGTGAGTTGGCTAGTGTTTTTCCCGGTTTTCGGAACATTGAAGGAACTCGACAAGTTGCCAGATACACTCGACGAGTTTGGTCAACATGGACTGTTAACCTAGACTGTTGACTTTGACATTAGACCAGGGTTGACCAAGTTTGACTTCAAGGGTATCATTGTTAATTCGGGGTTTTGTTGAAGTTAGTTGCAGGGTGGTTGTAGGTGGTTGAGCCCGAAGTCGTGAGTTGGGATTTGATTTTACAGATTCAGCAGTTCTTGAGAGGTGAGTCTCCCCACCATACCAATGGGTTAAAGGAACTAAGGTCAGCCCATTATGTGATATATGGATTGTTAGTGGATTATGTGTTATGTTGGTATGACATTTGCATGGAAGACCCCGGGGGTTCCCGTGACAGTAGATTAAAACCATGTGGGGGTTCCCATGACATTTGGTGTAGGACCTAAGGACCTTGGATGGTTTTCATGGCATCCTAGTATGTTTGTATGTTTAGCTCGCATGATATTTCTTTGGTTAGCTAAGACCATGTGGGGGTTCCCATGGCAGTTAGTGAAGACCATATGGGGGTTCCCCTGGCAGGTAGTTAAGACCATGTGGGGGTTTCCATGGCAGTGGGTTAAGACCACGTGGGGGTTCCAGTGGCACCAAGTGTAAGATCTTGGAGGGTTTCCAGGGCATCCTTATATGTTTGTATGCATGGCTTATGTGGTATTTGTAGCTGATATAGCTAATATGGTTTATGTGATTATGTGGATTGTGTGGGGTATGCTCTGGGGAACTCACTAAGCATTAGCTTATAGTTTGTTGGTTGTTTCAGGTACTTCAGGATCTAAGGGCAAGGGCCCGGCGCGATGGCGCGGCATGCACTCTCTAGCATCTTGTTTTGGGACACTCTGATTTTATGAATAATTTATCTAATGTTCTGGATTTCGAAAAAAATTGTGATTGGAATTTTATGACTTATGGAAATGAATTCATTATTTTAAAATAAGTTTTTTTTTTGGAAATTTAGGCTGTTACAGTTTCATCATTAGTTCTATGAGTATTTGGTGTTTTTGTACATTTTTATGAGTTTTGGTCCCTTTGTGATTTGTTCCATGGAGTTTGAAGAACTCCATGAGCTTTAGTTCATGCTTAAAGTTTAGATCTAGTGATTTGGTGGAGTAAAGAGTGTGTGCAAGAACTCTCATTACTCCATGAATGAAAAAAGTAGCTTTTTAGATATTTCTTATCTTAGGGTTTTAGATCTTGGAAGTTTGTGGCATTATTATGGATAAAGTTGGAAACTTTATCCATCTAAACATCATGTTGATTCAGATATGAAAGTTGGAGCCTTGAACTTAATGGATTAAGTCAAGAAAGATGCATTCTTGGACTCTTTGAGACTTAAAGTTTAGATCTTAGTTGTTTGGGTCATCCTAATGGATAAAGTTGGAAACTTTATCCATTATGAAGCTATTAAGTACCAGATTTGATGTTATGAGGCTTGATCTGTAAGGATTAAGCTCTTAATGAAGAAAAGTCTTCCTGATCAAAATTCAAAACCACGACATGGCCAAGGAAAGCCCACGATGTGGTGCTGCGCTGCAACACATCTGTTTTTTCTGGACATGGCCACATTGCGGTTATGAACTCTCCACAGGGCGGTAACCGTTGAGCGTTGACTTTTTGATCAGTTTGAATTTTGATCAAACTTTGGTAGAATCGAGTATTTGGCTAAGGAATGGTCTCAATTTGGCATTAGGTAGCTTGGATTAGCTATTTTGTTGTTGAGGTAGCTGTTGAGCTTCTGTTAAGTAGTCCAGGTGATTCCTCTCACTATATTGTATAGAATGCTAAATTGTCTTTGTGACTCTTGCATGTATGTTGGGTGGGGCTCGTTATATATGTTGTGCGAGGCCTGTAATGCATGTTTGGTGGGGCCCGCTATGCAAGTTGTGTGGGGCCTGTTATGCATGTTGGGCAGGGCCCGTTATGTACGTTTGGGTGGGGCCCGTATTGGTATACGGTATTATGGGGAACTCAGTAAGCTTCGTGCTTTCGACTTTAAGTTTAAATGTTTCAAGTATTTTATCACAACAAGGAAGAGTAAGGCGTGATTGCATCGCATCTACTGGAGTTTCCGTACTATCGTTTTATGATACTCTGATGTCTTTTTTGAAAACTACATTTGGAACTATGCGGATCTTATGAAATGGATTTTGGTTGGTTTGATTTATGTAAAAATAAAAACTTTACTTTATATTTTGGAGACGTTACATTATGTATCTCTCTTGTAATTGTGTCTTGCGAAAAGTCTTCGGTATGTTTTCTCAATGGTTTGTCACCGTTACGTATATTGTAGTAAGGTTTATCCTTCGTATGTTCCTGATTTGGCATGATTTTTTCTTGCTTACTGCCATGGGCGTGTGTAGGATTACCGTGCTAAAATCGATGCTAATTACGGATGGCACCAATGATGTTACGTACTTCCGTCGGTGGTTTTTAAGCGTCTCATGTATTCATCGTGGTTGGTTGTGATTGGTTAAGGTTGATCTTAGTTAGGTCCTAGCAACATAAACAAGACGGCATGAGTTATACCGGGATGCATCCCATTATTGCTTTCTGATGTTTAAGTCAGTAATAAGTTGTTAATTACAACCAACTCACGACATGAGAAAAAAGAGATAATCTTATCGTGTGAATTGTCTTTGTATATATAGGGGGTTCTTAGAGATTGTGAGAACCTTTTTTTTCGGTTTTCAGTTGTATTAATTGATTTAAATATAAATTGTATTGTGTACTTTTATATTTAATCTATCTAGCATATTTGTACATAGGGCATGACTTCAGGGATATATTTTGTGGTTAGATGAAGGTCTCCGTCTGGTGTGTATATTCCTAGCCTTCTATCTACTCTGGTAAGTTGGGTAGTGGACTTTTTCGGATAGGTAACCAGGCAGCCTTTTTTGCTCATTTGTCGGGTTGGGTACCCCATGAACGTTGATGGCCTCATCAGATGCTTTTAAATACATGAAAACATGATACTTGACTCTTGCACTACAAGTCAAGATTCTGATACTTCGTGATAAGGGTCAATTGAAGATATAGAGTTTCCAAGTTTAATCATAAGGTTATATGTTCTATAGGGATTACTTTAAGGACCATATCTAATATTTATGCAATACTAGAGTTTTGTTAAGTATTTACTTATATATAATTGATAATTTTCTTTGTGAAAGTTATCAAAGAGTACGGTATGTTATCAGATTACAAAACTATTATTCATCAATAAAGAATTATTTTCAACAATATTTGTTTTGTTCTTTACACTACTATTATTGATGATGTGGTAAGGGACCAACAAACTAGCTTTTATATATGATCATTGTAGTTGATAACAATTTTTTTTAATAATATTTTTTTGTATACCCGTGCATTTTGGTATTGAATTTAAAATATTGGACCATCATGAATTTGCTGCAAAACCATGATCCTATAATTTCAATGTACATCTAAATACAAGGGTCGTTTTGTTAATTTGGTTATCCAAGGGTTTTAAGTGTAAAGTTTCCGGTTCTAATACCCCTTTCAATGATTTATTCATTATACGCGAAGCCGACCAAAATCGCCGGAAACCCAAGAAGAAAAAAAAGGGGTGGAGCAAATTGGAGCGATGGGAGAAGCCAATACATCATCAATCGACGACGATTTGCTCCTCAAGAACTTCTACGCCGAAGTGAGCGAGGTTGAGCGAGACAATGAAGTCGCTAGGTATCCCTTCTGACCTTTTATCTATATCTTTCCTGTCTTATATGTTTTTGTTGTTTTATTTCTCTAATCAATTGTACTGTTCACATTAAATTGTCTTGGTTTTGGAAGTGTCTATGGATGCCATGAGTTGTATTTGAAATTGAGGATAAAATGTTCTTAAAGGAGGAAGTAATCGTTGTTAGCAGGTGTTATTGGTTATCATTTGAAATTGCGTACATACAAACTAGTTGTTCGTTTGATTGGATAGGTGTGTATATATGTTTCCTTAGTCACATGTAGGATAAGTATAATGCTTGTTGAACACTGTAAAAAATGCTAAATTCAACATGAGAAAGTCATTTAGAACCCTAAGACCTAAGTTGAACACATAAAACTTCTTATTTGACCTCGATCTGGTTTTGCATCATGTTTCTGTTGAAACTGTCTATGGAGCTTCAGCTGATACTATGTTGCATTTAAGATCAAGTTATGACATGTTAACAAATGAAATCCTGAATGATTCTGTTTCATTGCCAACCTCAACCTCATCTAAGATTAGAACTATAACAATGATGGATTTTGCCCAAGGGGAACAATATTTAATAGTGTTCTAAAAAGCATTAGGTGGAGACCCTCAAGCACTTGATCAAATAAGCAGGAATTAAGCAATCGCATAAGAGGTTCATTGAAGGATGTAAAATATGATCTTTTTTTTTTGGATTGTGTAAACAAATGAGAATTAAACTATTGATACAATATTGTTCAGGTATCATTTCCATTCAAATTACTATTTTCTTTTTAGTTAGGAAGATAGTTGCATTGATGGAAACTTCTAGAGTTATCGCTTGGTATTTGTTCATAAATTTGTATTGTTTTATCAATTATGAATATCAGGGAATATTAGGATCACCATTAGACTAGGAAACACTTGGGATACTTATTGGCTGTTTCTTTTTGACTTAATGGACTAAATCCAGACACATATTAGGGTGTTCCTTGTTGACATAATGCATACATCCGTTTGTTATTTAGCATCACTTCTAAACAGAAGGGTAAAATGGTCATTTAGTCCAAAAAAGAAACAACTATGTGTATACAATACTACCTCTAGACACACATCATATTTTGTTTACTTCATGTCTAATACAACTTGAGGCTTTATATCATTCATGACCTAATACATGCTTTTTGAAACAATTTTCACAGGATTCTTTCATGCTTTAAGCTAAATGCATTTGAGTATCTCAATCTACCATTTGATTCATCTCCAGAAGAAGTGAAAAAGCAATATCGTAAGGTGATAACTTTTATCCATATTGTCTCCATCAATTAAGATTCTCATTTTGGTGCTTGAAAGTTCCTAAATTTGCCATTTTTGACACCTTTAATAATCTGTGCAGTTATCATTGCTTGTGCATCCTGACAAATGCAAAACATCCCCAAGCAAAAGAAGCTTTTTCTGGTATGTATGATGAAAATTTTGATAGCTTTAGTTTCATTAAGGTGTTTTTTTTAGTGATGTTTTTTTTTACTTAATATAAACACATGAACTTAATAGGTTAAGTGAGAGGAGAGTGACTTTATCTATTAAGACCTCATGTTTTAACGCTGCTACCCTTTTACCAAATTCTTTTTTTTCTTAATTTATTCAAACTCACTAATTTTCTTCCCTAAGAAATAAGAATTATCCCATTCTTTCTCCTACCCTCGTCTTATTCCCAAGAACAATTAGGTATTGTTACATATTATTAATCATGTAGTTAATTTTATTTAATCTTTAATTTTTTTTCTATCATGTTCATTTACAATTTCAGTCTATAACCTAATCCTCAAATAAACATTCAGTTATTATATAGCATCACTTCTAGACAGAAGGGTAAAATTGTCATTTTCCATTTTCAGATTGTCCATTCAGTCCAAAAAAAAACAATTAAGTATATCATTAGTCATTACAGAATTTGTGTAACAAAAGTTTGTTTATGCTTCTTTGCCCATTATTATTTATTGCTTGTTCTTTTGTTCATACAATTACTAAAAGTGACTTATCTTTTAATGCAGCACTTGCAAAAGCCCAACAACTTTTACTTGATCCACAAGAAAGAGAGTATCTTGTAAACCAAATTAATGCAGCAAGAGGTTTGTAATAACCCCACATTTTTTTATTTATGTTCATGTGTTTAAATTTAATGTCTTTCTGTTGTATCATATCTGGCATCTCATGATTATTGGTAGTGTATTTGTAAATTTGTAATGATTGTTCTGTTGTATGTTTTATAAGTAGATAACAATTAACGTTGCCATGATCAAACAATATCTCTAAAAGAAACTTTATGATACAAAATTAGAATGTTTATGAGGTGTCTGACTTAACTTTTTACAAATTTTCCCTTGTAAGTTGTAATATATAAATTTTTTACTTCATTTTCTCATGAGTATATTTATAATTTACTTTGACTGAATTTGCAGAAGAACTTAGAGCAAAAAGGAAAAAACAACTGAAGAAAGACACTGCATCTAAGCTGAAGTCACTAGTTGATGAGGTAAAGTAAATAATTTAATTTCTCATTCATGTCAGGATCTCCAATTTATTTAATTCGCAAGAAATTAATGTTAACATATTATGATTTTCTGAAAATGTAGATGTATGCAGATTATGATATTATATTCTTATTGTTGTTTGAGTTTTTTTGTAGGGAAAATACGAGCAAGAATATGAAAAATCAGATGATTTTCAGCTTCAGCTAAAATTGAAGGTTCGGGAACTACTAACTGACCAAGAATGGCGCAGGAGGAAAATGCAGATGAGGGTATATTTGTAATTAACCTATTCTTATTATATATGGAAATATTACCAATCTACTTTCATTTTTTTGTTTATTACAAATTGCTTGTTATAATATTATTTAGAATCTGTTAACTCCAAGAAAATATGGAATTTGTGTAGATTTCAGAGGAGGAAGGAAGATTGAAGAAGGATGAGGAAGAATCCAAAGAGATGTGGAAAAGAAAGCGTGAACATGAGGAGCAGTGGGAAGGAACAAGGGAAAATAGGGTTTGTATTTCAGTATTTGGATAAATATTTTATAATTAGTTAAAAAATATTTGACAAAAATGACAACACACTTAAGAAAATGGAATGAAAAAATAGAGTAATTACATTTTTGCTACTTTACAATAAATGAGGGGTTGTCCCCTTTTAACCCTAAATCCTTTTGGCTTCCTTCCTATTTGAACCAGGTTTCCAGTTGGAGGGACTTCATGAAAGGAGGAAAGAAGGTAATTTTTTTTTCTTTAAATTTTCCTTTTTTTTTAAGTTGAAAAATAATTACAACATGTGTTGATTGTGAGATGCAGGTGAAGAAAGGGGAAATCCGGCCACCAAAGCTTAAGACAGAAGACCCCAACAAGTCGTATGTTCAAAGGCCTGTAAAACGAGGTTAGAGGTGCTTAAATTTCTCACATTTTACTCAGAATATGTAACTTTACAGTTGATTTAGTGGTTGAATATACAACTTTGTAACTTGGAATTGTGTCGTCTTGTAGTGCAGTATAAGAATATTGTATATTGCAATTTATGTTTGTTTCCTTTTTGTTAATATCGAATAGAAAGGGAAAAATCCCTAGTTTAATCTCGACAATACACACGATAATATATAGGATGTGCACTCCTTGGGTCCATACCATGAGTGAACCAATGTGCGTAAACTTGGGCTTTATTCATTTAACGATTCAGTACATGGATGTCACTCGTTTAGAGTTAATTATAATAGGAAAAGGCCCGTGCAACGCACGGGTGAAAGTTTAGTGGCAAAAATATAAAAAAGTAAAAATAAAGTGCCAAAATTATAAAGAGAAAAAGTTTATTGAAACTTTAGTGGCAAAATTAGTAAAAATAAAGTACCAAAACTATAAAGAGAAAAGATTTGTTGAAATTTTAGTGGCAAAATTATAAAAAAGTAAAAATAAAATGGTAAAATTATAAAAGAATAAAGAAAAAGGGTTTTAAAGAAGTAAAAGTGAAAGTTTAGTGGCAAAAATATGAAGAAGTAAAAATAAAGTGGCAAAATTATAAAAAGAAAAAGTTTGTTAAAACTTTAGTGGCAAAATTAAGAAAGAGTAAAAATATAGTGTTAAAATTATAAACATGGAAAGTTTTCAGTTGAAACCTTCCATGCGCTTTAAAATATATATATATATATATATATATATATATATATATATATATATAATGTTTTCAGATAATGTAATATTTATATAATTTGTTTAAATATAGATAACTTATTTATAGATATAACATATATTAATTTATTTAAATGTTATTGTTGTAATTAATAAGATACTCGACGAAGTTGTACCTATTGCAAATTTAACACTTTTTTTTATTAACGTGAATAGTGAATACCGTAACAGAAGTTCATGACAAAGTTGTTCTCATAATCTTTACTTAAAAGAGAAATGGGTAGAAAACTTTTGTCTACAAAACTGATTATATAAGTTAAAGTTAGCAAATTATCATATATCTATAATTTTAGGAGTGGGTGTGGTGCAGTTTACATGATTTTTAGTTGAAACTATACCGAAAAGTGCATAGATCGGTTTTTAGCTTCGTTTGGTTTTTGTGTTTGATGTGCTTTGCAGTTTTAGCTATGGTTTGGTTTCAATGTGGTTCAGCTTGGTTTATAAACCGCAATAGGTATAGTGTGGGTTTAAAACCACAAAACGGATGAATTATAGTCACAGCTGGTCCATTGATTTTCAAGGCACTGTGCGAAAAGTAAAAATCAGCCCCTAAATATATATTTTATATATAAACAATAATCAGTAATATAAATCAACATATATTATAAAATTAGTTAAAACAAAAATTGTTATAAGTCAACATATATTATAAAATTAACAAAAATTGTTACCAATAGTGATCTGTCACTAATCATCGCTTATACTAAAGGATATAGACCTTGTACGGTTGTAAACCCCACACATGGCTATGGTCTGCCCTAATTGATTATAGTCATTTCTTTAGGATTATAATTAGTTAACCACAAATATAAAAGGGATTTATAGCCAATTCGATCCTGATTATAATCATATTTCGTAAGTTTTGAAACTTCGAAAATGAAATTCCGCTTCTTGGCTTCTCTTTAGTTAATTGTAACTAAAAAAAAACAAAAAAAAGTGATGTTTTATAAATATTAAGTAGGTAATCTATATTATATTATTATGTATACATTTACAAGACCATATGGTGTGGTTTGGCGGTGAGGTTTTTACGAGTTGTGTGTAGTAAAGACTATCTGATGGTCAAGTTCTAGATATTGACAAAAAAAAAAAAAAAAAAAAAAAAAGTTCAAACCAGACAATCCAATTCTAGCCCAGTTCTTTATTAGACTCGGGCCAAACCAGGTAGTCAGTTCTAATTAGAGTTCTTATTAGACCGAGACCAATGTCATTCTTTGTGTTCAACTACCACCGGTCTTAAAGCGGTCTCAAGTCGGTCCGAAAAGTACCCAAATCCAAACCAAAAATCTGATTTGGTCTTAGACCGGTCTACGGCAGATCCAAAGACCGTTTCGGCAAAGACTAAAAAAGACAGATTTTATGCCTTTCTATGTAGGGATGTCAAAAGTCATGTGGGACCTCAATCCTGTATGAGGGGTAATTATTTAAAAAATTGGGGCGGGACAAGGTTAACCTCCGTTTTAAATTCAGGGGCGGGGCGGGGTGTGTAGTCTCGTCCCGAAACCCCCACGGGTCCCCGTTAATATGTTATATATATTTATATTATTATATGTATTAATTGTATAAATATCGACTTATTGTATCCATCAATCCGTGTAGGCATGTACGGTTAGTATCCTGTATCATCTTTTCACGTAAATCACGTAATGAGTAAATGACGTTTCAATTTTCTTTCTTTGTTGATTGATCCTTCCCAGTTCCCGCTTCTTACTCCGCTCGCGGTTCTCTCCAGACTCCATACGACCTTCAATACTTCATCATTGCTTCACATTCAGTCCGTTGTCGATCCTCACTAGAGTATCCATCGTCGACTCTTTAGCCGTCGATCCCTTCCTTCCCCTTCATATGTTCATCAATGACACAGATTCAGGATTCATCTGCGTGCACGCCCTTTGTCACCTCACTCAAGTCGGGTTCGTATAACATCTTTTGATCCTTATCTAATTAATTCATCTCATCATCTGTTATTCACTTCATTATAACATCAATTATATGTTTGATTGAATACAGAATCAGACACTGATTCAAAATGGATAATAGCTTATCATAGAGAGGATAAGCTTTTAAAAAATAAAGGTAGAGAGTGAAAAAAAAATCAAACTGATTGTTATCGATTTCTCCTCCATTTTGAAGGGCAAGACTTAAATCTTTCTTAAATTAATTGAAAGGTTTATTATTTTTTGATATATCTTTAAAAATATCTTTTTGAATTCCAAAATAGTGATTTACTTTTAGTGTATTTAACCAGCATCTTGCGAAAATCTGATTTATATTGTTACAAATGTTAGCTAGGGTTTGAATGCCTACTTTTCCTGAAGAAGAAAAAACATATTCTCTTTTCTGAGTAGGATCATCAAGATTTTTAAGTCTCAATGATTTACCCTTTTTGTAAATATAAGGAAGGTCTATCTTACTTATTTATTACTTTGCTTAGTTGGCTGGTCGTTTAATTTAAATTATCAACTCTAGAAGACATACTTTTACAAAAGGGTAAATAATTGAGACTTAAAAATCTTTTGTTAGACAAAAGACTCTTTTTTTATTGAGTAAGATAGACATTCCTCATATTTACAAAAAGGGCAAATCATTGAGACTTAAAAATCTTGATGATCGTGCTCAGAAAAAAAATATATATGTTTTTTCTTCTTCAAGAAAAGTAGGCGTTCAAACCCTAGCTAACCTTTATAACAATATAAATCAGATTGTCGCAAGATGCTGGTTAAATACACTCAAAATAAATTACTATTTTGGAATTCAAAAAGATATTTCTAAAGATATATCAAAAAATAATAAACCTTCCGATCAATTTAAGAAAGAGTTAAGTATTGCCCTTAAAAATGGAGGAGAAATTGATAACAATCAGTTTGAAAAAAAAATTTACTCAGTTAGAAAAAATAATTTTTTTGGATTAGAAATAGAACAAGGAAATCATCGTCTTCAAAATCATATCTTTGAAAATATTCATAAATTTCCTAATAAAATTGAAGATAAAAAACAGTTACAAAGATTTTTAGAAATCTTAACTTATGTTTCGTACTACATTCCTAAACTTGCAAAAATAAGAAGCCTCTTACAATGCAAAGTTAAGAAATATGTCCTTTGGTCATGGTCTGAAAATGATTCTAGCTATATGGCAAAAATAAAAAAGAACCGAAAAGAGTTTTCACCTCTATATCATCCTAATATAGATGATAAATTATTATCGAAACTGATGCTTCAGATAATTATTGGGGAGGAATCCTTAAAGCAAATAAATTCGGAGGATCAGTCCAAAGAAATAATTTGCAAATACACCTCAGGATCTTTTAAGGATGCTGAAAGAAATTACCATTCTAATGAAAAAGAATATGTTGTCGTTAAAAGGGTAATTGAAAAGTTTTCAATCTATCCAACACCTATATATTTTACAGTAAGAACAGATAACAAAAAACTTTGCTTATTTTCTAAGAAATAACATTTTTGGAGATAACAAACAAGGTCAACTAGTTTGATGGCAAATGTGGTTTTCCAGATATAGCTTCGAAGTAGAGCACAATAAAGAAGAAAATAATATCTTTGCAGACTTCTTAACTCGAGAATCCCAACGGAAAAACTAATCAGGTTTGATATTCTTTTCATGCAGGAATCAAAGCCATTTGGCGTTATACTTTGGTGGTCTAACGACCCAAGAGATTTTAACCTCAGTCCATAATTTGGACTACATGTACATAGCCTTTCTCAAATGGAGAAAGAACAAGAGCTTATGCTCAAACAAGCTCTTATTGAGCAAGAATTGGAATTCTTCAGAAACCAATTAAAAACTGTAAGACTATTTATGTCTGAACATCAAAATGAACTTTCTTCTCCTTCCTCTCCTATGAGTCAAGAAGAAAATGTAAGTGTTCAAAAGAACATCGAACAACAAGAGGTAAATGTTTCACCTCCTTTAAAAAGAAAAGAAACATCTAGTCCTGAGCAAACGACTCTATAAAAAGATTCAACAAATCCGTTGAAGGTTGTGGATTTACCAAAAATCCAGAAAGGAGTACAAACTCCAATAATGTTGGTTACACCCTTAGACTTTAATCTAAGACCCAACGGGGGAATTCAAATCCCAAACACTGAAGGTTCATCTTCAGGATCAGGATCACCTGATAAGGGAATTTAAATCCCAGAGGAATTGTTACAAATTCCTAATAAAAATTCAAAACCATAATACGTTATATTCAATGGACCCAACGTTGGTATATTTGAAGACTGGAATATCGCCAAAAAGGCAACAAAAGGAATTAAAAATAGTAAACACAAAAAGTTTAATAACTTTCTTGAATCCAAGATAGCTGCAGATCAATATACAAGATCTGAAAGGTGTTCAAAACTACAGCTTATTATTGCAGTGGAAACCTTAAGACCTAACACATTCAAGTTAGCCTTAAATTCTACCAAAATTTCCAAAACCATTCTTGGAAGCCTTCAAGAAGAACTCCCAAGAATACTGAAGAAGTCACACCTGACCTCCTAGTAGAAATCAAGATAAAAGACTTCGAGTATTGTTACAGGTATGCTCAAAGTGCAACAGAATAAAATTTTGTAGAAGAAAAATCTCCAATATTGATGGGAAGAATTTAAGTCGCTACAATTTCTACAAAAATGCCAACTCTTTACAAGTGTATGAAGCATTTCAACTAGGATTGGTAAAAACAATCTATCCTAGTCAAAACCTGTAGGAAATAAAGCTTTTCTCTAAAAGCTTTACAAAAGCAATAAAAAGATGTTGCAAAAAGGATCAAGTCATTTTTCTAAAATTCAACAGTAGCATCCCATATTGGAATGGCAAGGATGAATTAAAGTCTCATCCTCATCATTTAGTACAGATAGGTATATGTAAGCAAAAAACCTATCTGCCCCGCAAAGCCATGGAAGAAAAGCTTGAAAGAGTCGATATCCTCCAACTAGCAAAATCTAGAATTGAAATCTTTATCAATAAAGTTTTCAGTTTTTCAGCAGATGACAAGATCTTTGTCAATGGATATGATACCAATGAAAAGACCTTAATCTATAGCAAATACAGGAAAGAGATTTCTCTGGCCGACGAACAACTGTTCTTAGCCTTCCAAAACTCCCTATTAAAGCCAGACTTAATCGGCGAACACGTGGCAGACATCTATAAGACGCTCTAAAAAAGCACTAACAAATACAATTGTCAAAGATGCTTAACCATCAATGTAGCCTCTACTACCGAAAATAATAATGGAAAAGCTATTATTAAAGAAGATTCCTCGACAAGCACCAAATAAAAGAGGACCCTCAAAGATAAACTACTACACAATAATGTAGTTAGTGCATGATTTGATTAGCAGTGACGTAAAACACTTGTATCAGATCCTCTATATGATTCTATAAATAGAGAGTTATGTTTTCATTTGTAGGCAAAGTAAAAATACGAGATCCTTAAGCATTCTATTGAAATCTGCAAATGTATTAGTAAAACCCCATATAGGGTTTATAGTTAAAAATTGACAAAACTTCAAAAATGGTCCTTGTGGTTTCCGAAAATCTGAAGTTTAGTCCCTAATTTACAAAAACCTCACGGATCGTCCTTGTGGTTTCAAAACTTTTAACATTTGGTCCTTCCGGCTCACTCTGTTACCATTTAGTCGTTAAGTAAGGGGCATTTTTGTCATTTCACTACCCAGGGACCATTTATGAGGTTTTCTATTACTTTTTTTAAAAAAAAAATAAAAAATAAATAAAATTTAATATGCAAGGGGTCCCACCCTCTCTCTCTCTCTCTCCAATACATGAACAAGTGCCAGATCATGTTAAGCCCGATAATTACATCCCCCATTATTCGCTAATAATCAACAGCCCTTGAAGAATGAAAATAAACACAGAAGAAATCAACTTCCTTTCTTTATTCACTTGTAGCTAGATGTCTGTATGATGATGTTCTTGTTGCTTTTTGGTGCTAGTTTCGATTGATCTGCAGAAATGATGAGAAGTGTATACTCCACAGTGAATAATTCCAATCTCGCCTCCAATTTCCTACTGTAACATGTTGAATTTCTTCACTCGATTCATAACCCATTTTAATGGCATAAAACCCGACTGCTTTTGAATCTTTCTTCCTGTAATCGATCAAATTCATAACCCATTCTTCAGTATGTTTCTGCAACTAAAAACAGCCCCCCCCCCCCCCATAAGACACCTTCTTTATCAGATCTACTTCATCAACTTCATTATCAGATCTACTTTTGATTACCAAATTTCCACCTGTCGTCGATCTCCTTCTTTTTCATCTTTTCCAACTCCTGTAATTTCATTACATTCAAGAAGAAATCAATCATGACAGTTTCATAAGAAGGCAATTTCTCGTAACCAGGGAACTAATTCATATCAATCACCACATACCCATCTCCTTCACCATCTCTAATCATATCGAAATTAAACAGGTACAATCCAAGATCCTTTCTCAGGCCCTTCGCTTCCTCAACGAGGAATTCAGGCGCTGACATCTTTAGCTCCTCAACGGAGTTATTATCACTCCTTCTGTCGTCACCAGCGATTACAGCACCTGATATCCGAGAGAAACTTATAGTGCCTGGGAGAAGACGATTTTGAATCGGTTTTCAAGGGTTGGATCGATGAAACTACTAATCTTGGAACCTGTGTTGTTGTTGCTGTCAAAAAGCTTAATCAAGAAAGGGGAGAAGAGAGTAGAAGCAAAAGGGGAAGCCGACAGTCACAAAACTGTAACATCCCGAAATTCAGGTACAGCTATGTAGCCCTTCTTTTATTCAAAGTGTCAAGTTAAGCCCTTAAGAGGAATTGGTAGCAAATGAGTACGTTGGGCGTACTCAAGAGTACGCTGCGCGTACTCATGCGCTTATTTTGGACGCGGACTCGCCTGAGTACGCTGGGCGTACTCAGGGTTACGCTGGGCGTAATGCGTCCAGGTGCAAACCCTAATTTCTGACTTGTGCCCTATATATTGGATGCTAAGGCTCATTTCTCAGCCTCCATAGCAGTGAGTAAAACCCTAAGAGAGAACTTTTCATCGTTCTTAGTGAGTGTGTGTGATTTTGGAGCTAAAAGTGCCTTGGTGTGCTAGTGAAGAAGAAGGAGAGGAGTTTGTGGAGACTAGAGCTTGAAGTGCAAGTTTGGATCTGAGATCTACAGAGGAAGGAGCTGCATTTGGAGGTATAAAGTTCAAAACTTTCCTCTTAATTTGGTTTGTTGCTTCATGGACCATTTTAGGGTTAAAAGTCCTAAAGGTGGAGACTTTATGAGTGTAATGAGCTCCATGGACCTAGATCTGTCCCATTTCAGTGGTATTTGTGTTATAGATCCATAAAGTTCCCATCTTGGTCGTGGATATGAGATCATGCTTGAGTATTGGGCTTTCTAGTGTTAGGAAATGGTATATTTTGGGTGTTAGTGACTTGTTCAGCCATGCAAAGGCTTAAAGTCATCGACTTTATGGATTAAGAGGCTTAGAAATGGTCAGATCTAAAAGTTGGACGTGAGTCTTAACTGTTTAAGACCTCAAGAGCTAAGGGACTGAAACTGGGATTTACGCCGGGCGTAATCCCAGTACGCGCGGCGAACGGGGTGGCGTTCCCCGATTCTGAGAGACTGTCGGGTACGCCCAGCGTACACATCTGGTACGCGCAGCGTAACCCGGAGGGTTGACTTTTGGTTGACTTTTAGGGTTTGGTCTATAGTGGGGCCTTTGAGTTATGAGAGGGGTAAAATGGTCTTTTACCCTTCTGAGAGTACTAAGAGGAGGAATAGTCTAGCCTTGAGAGATGTATTGATTTAGAGTATTTATTTCACATGATTAGGCGGAGGCTAGACCCGATTTTACAGAGTTCGAGCTTTACCGAGTTACCCGAGGTGAGTCTTCTCACTATACTTTACCTAGAGTGGTAATTAGAGCTATGAGACAGAGTATTGTGTATGCTTTTGCATGATGTGATTTCTATGTGTTATATGCTATGTATGTTACAGAGATTTCAGAGTTAGGACCGGAAGGTCCACAGAGTTAGGGTCAGAGGACCCATAGAGTTAGGGCCAGAGGGCCCACAAAGTTATGGGACTGGGGGGTCCCACAGAGACACTTTGACCAGAGTGTCAAACAGAGTTATAGCCTCGAGTGGCTAATATGTGTTATGTGTGGTATTTTGGGGAACTCACTAGGCATTTATGCTTACAGTGTTGTGTTATGTGTCTCAGGTACCAGCGAGGATCGCGGGAAGGCGCCGGCTTGATCAGTACACACGCGGGGAGATTTTATTATGATCTTGGGAGATGATGTTATGTGATACAATGGTGTTTTTATAACGATTATGAATGAAAACGTGTTTTATAAAATGTGAAAAATTGTTTTGAAAATTTGGGTGTTATAAGTTGGTATCAGAGCCTTGGTTTGAGGGATTCGGATACATCTTCGGGCGTATCTGAACTCAAACTGAGGATTTAAGAGAAATTTTGATGACTAAACAATTTTAAAAGAGTAAAAAGAGTTTTGAGACAAACAGAGCAGAGCCGTGTGTACGATCAGCCAGCGCCCGAACGGTGATTTCCCAAAATACCCTTGCAATTAGTGTTATGAGATAAATTTTGTTATGATATATGCTGAGTCATGTTATGCGTGCTAGAGTAGACTAGGTATTCTTATTAGGACTAGAGTGGCCTGATATGTGATGCCTTAGTCTAGGAGTTTTGCTGCTAGGGATGCTTGAGAGTGTGTAAATAGCAGCGAGGAGTTTATGAGAGGTTTGTTAGAGGGCAGTATATGCCAGTGAGACATAAAGTACTTGTGACATGGGATCCAAGGAGGAGGACTTAGAGTGAAGGCTGATGCGGTGTGGACGGTAGTATAGGGCCCGTACTACTGAAGACACCGGAGCAGTGCGCACCCTAAGTAAGAATCCATTGGGTATTAAGGAGCAAGTAGGGTGGAGTTATCGAGTGCGAGTATACTCGATCGAGTCCCTGATATTTATTATGTTGTATTTCAGAGACATCATGGTTGGGACACGCCACACACCAGAGAGCAGCGGTACTAGTGATGAGGAGATCCGTAGGATCATTCATGAGGAGGTGGCTGCGGCCATCAGGGCAGAGATACCAGAGATGTTCGGGTCTATCAAGACCACACTGATAGATACATTTGACGAGAGATACGCTGCTCTTTCTGAGGCTGCGGTTGCTGCGGCCACTGCAGCTATAGCTGCGACTAGGCCGCAGGGTGGTGATGCGTTGCTGTTTCGTGAGTTCAGCAACACAAAACCACCGGAGTTTGATGGGACCCAGGACCCGATTGCAGCGATGAGGTGGATATCAGACATTGAGGGGTGTTTCTTTACTTGCTCATCTCCAGAGCATTTGAGAGTCCGGTTCGCGTTGAACCAGCTTCGCTTGGGAGCGAAGGACTGGTGGAAGTTTGTGATGGCGCACTATTCGCCTACTGAGCTTGTTGCAGTGACCTGGGAGAGGTTCACTGCTATGTTCCGAGAAGAGTACGTTCCCCAGGTGGAGAGGGAGCGTTTGGCCCAGGAGTTTTTGACCTAGATCTGTCCCATTTCAGTGGTATTTGTGTTATAGATCCATAAAGTTCCCATCTTGGTCGTGGATATGAGATCATGCTTGAGTATTGGGCTTTCTAGTGTTAGGAAATGGTATATTTTGGGTGTTAGTGACTTGTTCAGCCATGCAAAGGCTTAAAGTCATCGACTTTATGGATTAAGAGGCTTAGAAATGGTCAGATCTAAAAGTTGGACGTGAGTCTTAACTGTTTAAGACCTCAAGAGCTAAGGGACTGAAACTGGGATTTACGCCGGGCGTAATCCCAGTACGCGCGGCGAACGGGGTGGCGTTCCCCGATTCTGAGAGACTGCCGGGTACGCCCAACGTACACATCTGGTACGCGCAGCGTAACCCGGAGGGTTGACTTTTGGTTGACTTTTAGGGTTTGGTCTATAGTGGGGCCTTTGAATTATGAGAGGGGTAAAATGGTCTTTTACCCTTCTGAGAGTACTAAGAGGAGGAATAGTCTAGCCTTGAGAGATGTATTGATTTAGAGTATTTATTTCACATGATTAGGCGGAGGCTAGACCCGATTTTACAGAGTTCGAGCTTTACCGAGTTACCCGAGGTGAGTCTTCTCACTATACTTTACCTAGAGTGGTAATTAAAGCTATGAGACAGAGTATTGTGTATGCTTTTGCATGATGTGATTTCTATGTGTTATATGCTATGTATGTTACAGAGATTTCAGAGTTAGGACCGGAAGGTCCACAGAGTTAGGGTCAGAGGACCCATAGAGTTAGGGCCAGAGGGCCCACAGAGTTATGGGACTGGGGGGTCCCACATAGACACTTTTGACCAGAGTGTCAAACAGAGTTATAGCCTCGAGTGGCTAATATGTGTTATGTGTGGTATTTTGGGGAACTCACTAGGCATTTATGCTTACAGTGTTGTATTATGTGTCTCAGGTACCAGCGAGGATCGCGGGAAGGCGCCGGCTTGATCAGTACACACGCGGGGAGATTTTATTATGATCTTGGGAGATGATGTTATGTGATACAATGGTGTTTTTATAACGATTATGAATGAAAACGTGTTTTATAAAATGTGAAAAATTGTTTTGAAAATTTGGGTGTTATAAAAACAGAGATGGGTTTGATTTGTAGGTGGAGAGAGAGAGGGAGAGAGAGAGAGAGAGAGAGAGAGAGAGGGTGGGTGGGACCCCTTGCATATTAAATTTTATTTATTTATTTATTTATTTTTAAAAAGTAATAAAAAACCTCATAAATAGTCCCTGGTAGTGAAATGACAAAAATGCCCCTTACTTAACGGCTAAATGGTAACGGAGTGAGCCGGAAGGACCAAATGTTAAAGTTTTGAAACCACAGGGACGATCCGTGAGGTTTTTGTAAATTAGGGACTAAACTTCAGATTTTCGGAAACCATAGGGACCATTTTTGAAGTTTTGTCGTTAAAAATTGTAAAAACCTTCGGGTTTTAGTTCGTTTATAAATAAGAAAAGTTTTCTCTATCCATGCTTTGTGCAACTATCTGTATGTTTAAAGTCTGGAGTCTTATTCGTCATTATGATCTAGTACTAACAAGTACCGCCAGTCAGAAGGACGTAGGGAAGAAGAAACGATCGACACCAAGATTGACGAAAAAAATCACAGAGCCTCAAGCACGAGCAAGGTATGAAAACTATCTTTTAATTATTAACAAAACTATCCTGTTATAGTTTTTCAATTTAGAAAACTATAAACTCTATAATAAATTATCTTTTATAAAACGCAAAAATCTTATAACAACTAGTAATAAAGTATTAGCTAATCAAGAACCTAATAAGTTCTTGATTTCTCAAATAAAAGATTGCATAATTGCTAGTAAACAACATCAAAGAAATTTAAATTATATTAATAATGAATTTCTTTAATAGATTTAACACTACAAACATCTCTACGAGATGATTTTAAAAGGCAAATAAAATCTAAAAGTAATTGATTTGCACACGTTTGTGTACAAAATTCAATAAAAATGAGTCATTTGTCTAACAAAAGATATTTCACTGAGTTAAAAGATAAGCTTTTTAACTTAAATTCATCCGCAAACTGTGTTAAAAGATAAGCTTTTAACAATCAATTCCTACTAAAGCCAAACTTAATCGGCGAACACGTGGCAGACATCTGTAAGACGCTCCACAAAAGCACTAACATATACAACTGTCAAAGATGTTCAACCATCAATGTGGCCTCCACTACCGAAAATAATAATGGCAAAGCTATTATTAAAAAAGATTCCTCGACAAGTACCAGATAAGAGAGGACCCTCAAAGATAAACTACTACACAATAATGTAGTTAGTGGATGATTTGGTCAGCAGCGACGTAAAACACTTGTATCAGATCCTCTCTATGATTTTATAAATAGAGAGTTATGCTTTCATTTTTAAGTCTTGCCCTTCATAATAACTTTTCCTCCATTTTGAAGGGCAAGACTTAAAAATGAAAGCATAACTCTCTATTTATAGAATCATAGAGAGGATCTGATACAAGTGTTTTAGGTCACTGCTGACCAAATCATCCACTAACTACATTATTGTGTAGTAGTTTATCTTTGAAGATCCTCTCTTATTTGGTGTTTGTCGAGGAATCTTCTTTAATAATAGCTTTGCCATTATTATTTTCGGTAGTGGATGCCACATTGATAGTTGAGCATCTTTGACAGTTGTATATGTTAGTGCTTTTGTGGAGTGTCTTACAGATGTTTACCACGTGTTCGCTGATGAAGTTTGACTTTAGCAGGAATTGGTTGTTAAGAAGAAATTTAAACATCTTATGAAAATTTATTACTTTTCAAATTAGTAGTTGGACTGTTCATCTGTTTCATTGAATATAAACATTAGTTTCTTTTAAATTCTTGAAGTTTGTTAGTGTTAGTGTTTTTCTATAATCTGTTCATCTGTTTGATTATAAACATTAGTTTCTTTTAAATTCTTGAAGTTTGTTAGTGTTAGTGTTTTTCTATAATTTGTTCATCTGTTTGATTTATTTGTTTTTTGTTCAATCTTAGTGTGTTACATGATTTACCTGTGATATATTTGTTCAATGTTATCTGATGTTGTGAATTGCTATCAATACGAAAGTTGGTTATGTGGTAGGAAAAGGTATACATAACATTGCTTGAGTTGTTATTTTATAGGCAGTGTTGTGGATGGATGCAATACTTAAATGCTTAAGAAGATGAAAAGTAGAATGATTTTGTGTTATAGTAATTGTAGGTGTTTCTTTGAACATATCATACATTTTTTTCGGGTTGTCAAGTTCGGATTTATTGTGTTTTTTTGGAACTTTAATCAAATAATAGATTTGGATATATTTTGGTTTTTTTGGAACATTATAGTAATCATTCATGTTTCTTTGAATTTTTTTTTTCGGTTCGTAACTATGGATTGATTGTGTTTTTTTCAGGGAGGGGGTAATCCACGAACTCTACTTATGCATATTGCAGTGTCCTTTCGACACATTTCAAAATTCAAAATAATTTACTTGATTCTCTTTTAGCATATTTTCCCTATTGCTAAATTTCTTTAATTTCTACTCTTCTCGCCATGTAAAAATACTTAATATGAGTTACTCAAATGATATTTGTGCATATAAAAACAGATAAAGAAAGAAAACGGACAACCAAATAATAATTTCTTAAACAACTCTCAAAAGTGATAACATAAACCAAAAACAACAGCATAATAGTGTTCTACATAACAATAAAACTCCTGTTATGTTCTCAAAATCTATTTCATAATCAACCAAAAAGAGTTGCAGACTCGATAAATATACTTTTTAAAATCCTGCAAAAGCTTTCTTCCCGGTACTACCAGAAGATCCTGCTGGAATCACCTTCAACACATTGAACCTCACAGTCTTTGACAAAGGTCTGAAAAAAAACAAACATTCAGCATCCTACTTCTACTTCAGTTTAAACCAATATAAACAATCTAAAATACAATCTACCTTTTATAACCCTGGATCATGAAATAGAAAATATTTATACCCAATAAAAGCAAAATGCTATAAACAGATAAATTGTTTAACCAAATTAATATAAGAATCAACAGTTATCTATTTGAAGGTGTGTAAAGGCTATAAAGCTATGATATATTAAAAAGGCTATAAAAACAAAAGGAATTTTAATAATCTAGAGCTAGAAATAAACCCATCAGATTTAGGCGTATTTTAGCTTTAGAACAAGCATTGTAACATTTCATATCAACAATAATGCCTGTGATTCCTATGTATCCTGAAGTAAATGCAACACTTCTTTTTTATAAAATTTAGCTCCAAACTTTGTTGTTAATTTTCAGAAATTACTACATTATACATGCATTCTCTTCTTTTGATTTTAAATTTAAAGGGTAGATGCAAGATTTAGGAACATACTTTCATTTAGTATTTCTTACTACAAAAAATCTACCCAACTATAGCATTAAACAATTACTGACCTTAATTGCCATTCTAGTAATTGGGTAATAAATTTTTTTAACGTATAAAGCTTTTACAAGAACAAATAAAAACAGGATGGTTGAGATATATTTTTTAAAACAGACCTGCATTGCCCAATGGTGACGTGGTCACCTTCCTTCACACGGAAACATGGTGAGATGTGAGCAGGAGTGTTTGAGTGCCTCTTCTCATATCTGAAACAAAAAAAGCAAGTAACCAAAAATAAGAATGACAAATCATCGGTAATTGGGGCTAAAATGGTATAATCATAGTTACACTCTTGGATCTTACCTTTGGTATTTCTTGATATAGTGAAAATAGTCCCTTCGAACAATGATGGTCTTCACCATTTTTGCACTGTGGCATGTTCCAGTTAAGATACGGCCTCTGATGGAGACATCACCGGTGAAAGGACACTTCTTGTCAATGTAAGTACCTGAAACCAAAGACATGTACAAAATTTAGGTAATTATAAAGTCTTACTGATTCAATTGCATCTCTTTCGTTTCATATTGATCTAAAAGGTATCAGACACCTATCTATAGATTCATCAATTCTAAGATAGCAAATAAAATGATTAAACATATACGATTTTGGTGAGAATACCTTCGATAGCTTCTCGTGGTGTCTTGAATCCAAGACCAACACTCTTCCAGAATCTGTTACCACCCTTTCCAGGCCTCTTTCCTTTCCCACTTTTCTTCGAGCTAATAAAACATTTACATAGATCAATCAAATTAGATTAAACATTAAACAAAAGTTCGTCAAATTAACACAATTCTAGAGGTTTAGGGTTTGTTTCTAACCAGAGAAACACTTTGGGTTGCTTCAAAAACGCCTTCTCAGTCTGTGAACAAATGCAGAAAACGGATAAGAAAACGTAAAAGGTTATTATCGCAACAGAAGTGGTGTCTACTAGACTACATACCTGTTCAGCCATTGTTGAGGAGGGAGTGCGAGCTCAGAAACGGCGTACACAAGAGAGAATATCAGTAGGAAACCCTAGAGAACAAGACGTTGTTTCTTTATTTAAGGATGTGTTAGAAGTTGGGTCTGCTGGGCCTTATATTGGGCTGGGCCTAACTCTTGAGCAATATCAAACAATATATTGTTTTATATGTATGGACTATGGAATATTGGCGTATAGTCAAATAACCACAACATGTTTTTGCAATAGAAAATATAAATGTGAGTTTGATGTGGAAACTTGTCAAGAAAAAAAATACTATCATTTATACTTAGGACGCTATAAAAATTTTGGAGTCTCTTATCAATGGTTGAAAATCTTTCACGAATAAAATATTGTTAGTACCTCACGATTTAATTCTTGCTACGTGATGGTTTTAAGAACGATTGTGATAAAAATTGTTGGTGCAATTTATGCTTTTCTCATTTGAGGCTAGATTAATTCCTTAATACAATAGTACATCTTAGTTCATTATATATGCATTTATACGTGAATAATTGGGCTTAGAGTATACTCGATTCTTAGAATATACATATATTTGTAAGGAATATGAATGTAAAACATACATGGATATTAATATAAAAGCATAGTTGCATTCAATGAAGAAACCTATAAATTTGATATCAAATCCCAAATTATATCTTTTTGAATAATATGTATTCATAGATGAATATACTATTCATATGCAAAGACTTCATATTTACAAATGAATAAACTTTTAAAAGCTAGTGGGCTAAAATTAATTTCAACCTTAAAATATACGAATTTATAATATGTCTAAATGTTATCAATTGTAGTATTCATCTGTGAAGAGTAAGTATTCATAAATTAATAAACTTCACAGATGATAAAAACTAGACAATATTTCTGAAATGGTCCATGTGCTTTAAAAAATATACCGCAAATGGTCATTTGAGGAAAATCTTACGTAAATGGTCCTCATGAGAATTTCTTGTGTGGATGGTTCTTAAAATTGAAAACTCTTAGGTCCCGTTTGATAATTGTTGACTGGGAAGTACTAACTGAAAAATGTTTGTTTGGGTAAGAAATCATGACTGAGTAAGAAAACATGTTGTTTGATTGTATATCTGACTGATGAAAATTGATCATTTACCCTGTTGTTCTATACAGTAGGCCTGTTAATGGGGCGGGTTTGGGGCGAATCACCATTGATCCAAACCCTTTTAAAATTTTGAAAACATGATCTGCCCCGATCCATTAACCCTCAGGGTTTTGAATAATCAAATATGTACCCGTATCTACCGATTCAACGAATACCCGACCCATTAACATGATCATTTTACAATAATAAATTTACATAATTTGATGTGTGCCACAAAGTAATATTTTTCAATAAATAAGATAAAATGTCTACTAAAACAAAAATTGCATTACTAAAACTCAAAATCGAATACAACAAACAATACTTAATACTCAAAATACAATACAATAAAAATTACATTTAATTCGACATCGACTTGAATACTTTTTTGTTACTTTGAGGGTAGCGAATCTTGTGTAGTCACCATAGCCTCTACAGTTTCAGCTAGCATGGACGAACGACATTCATCAATTATTCTTCCTCCAACATTAAATGCAGCCTCAGATGCAACACTGGTTGTTGGAACAACTAAGATGTCTCGTGAAATTTTAGCTAAAGTAGGATGCTTGGCACTATTAGCTTTCCACCAATTTAGGATATTAAATGGCTCGCTTCTTGAAAAGAGAGGTTCTTCTAAATGCATCTCTAACTCAGTTTTACGTGTAGCAACTACATTCGATTTCATCTCATACCAAGAATCAAACCCACTTAATTCATCATCATTGGAATGTACCTTATTTGAAAAGACACAAACTTCTTGGCTTGATTATACTTTTGAATGAGATAAATAGTCTTCATAGTCATTAAAGAGATCAAAGACAACATTGCGAACATTTTCAATATATGGAGCAGCAAGAAAATAATGGATCTTGTTGTAGTAATACTCGACCAAACTCATTTTGTACCTAGGATCAAGTACAACAGCAACTAATAAAACCAAGCAACATTCATCCCAATATTTTTCAAACTTTAACTTCATTGGGGCAGCCATCTTTCGCAAAAATTCATATTCACTAGTCTCCCACTTCATCATATGCAATTTAATATTACATACATCAGCAAAAAAAACAAAAAAAAACAAAAAAACAAAAAAAAAACAAAAAAAAAAACAACAACAACACTTGATGTAGGATAAGAAGTACCAGAAAACCTATTTGTTGTTTTATAAAACTGTTCTAAGCAATTACTTATCAGTTGGGCAATTTTCCACTTGTTATTAGTTGGATTAAATTTATAATTTTGATTTGTTTGTGTCAAACGCCAAAATACCTCTGTCATTTCTAGAGAACTTTGAATCATCAAAAATTTTGAATTCCATATGGTGGGGTAATCCATTTTAACTTTTTTCTTATCTTTAAGCTTGCATTGAGTTTTTGCATTATTAAACTTTTGTGTAGCAAATGGAGAACGCTTCAAGTACTTTATAGTTTCTTTAGCCTTGTGAATGAATTTACCAACAACTTTTAACCCATCTTGAACAATCAGGTTGAGAATATGAGCACTACAACGAACATGAAATAGCTTTCCTTCCAATGGGACAACCAACCTCTCAAACTCCTCACCGTTACATCATTGACACTAGCATTATCTAGCACCATGGAGAACAACTTTCTTTCAAGTTTCCAATCTAATATGTAGTCAATAATGTGTCTAAAAAGAGTTTCTCTGTCGTGAGGATATTCTATACAACGATAAGCAAGTATTTTGTTACTTAAGTTCCAATTCTCATTAATAAAGTGAGATTTTAAGCATATGTAACCACTATTTTGATGACCAAATGTCTAAATATCAGTAGTGAGAGAAACCATACCTGGTAACATCTCCAAGTATTTGTATAGCTTCTCTTTTTCGATTGTATGAACTTGAATTATATAAGAATGTATTTTTGCATTTCAGATGACATTGTGGTTGAAGACCATTCACAAAATACTGAAAATACTCAAGTTCACACATGTTGAATGGATAGTTGTGCTTGATCACCATCTTTGCAAAATCCATCATACTTTTCTGCTTATTGAACTTGAAATTTTCAACAGAAACTGTATTATCAGAAACATTTTTTTCATAGACAACATATATTTACCAATATCTTTTTTTTTTCTTCCGGTGCATCTAGGTAAATGATTTCTTAAATGAGTTGTTGTAGATTTAGCACATGAAACAAGTTTCTTTTTACAGTGCTTACATTTTTCACTTTCACTCCCATCTTGATTTATAACTTTACCAAAATCCTTCCATACATCAGATGTCAATCTTCTTCTTTTTGCAGAATTTTCCTCATTGTCTGCTACATTCCCCTGAGCTTGAGCATCAACATCTACAACATTATCGATCTTGTCATTATGAGCGTCCACGTCTATAACATTTTCGATACCTCTTTTGATATCCATCTCGTGTCATCATTAATTTTGTCACAATGAGATTTTTTAACACTAAAAATGCCAAACAAAATAGAGTATAGCTGATCGGTTTTAAGGAAGAAAAAAAAGGACTGATAAGCCAAGAGGGGTAAGGGGTGGACTGATTTGTAACAATGAAAGTTTTTGACTGAAAAATAACCAAACGAAATATTGAAATTTTAAAAGGTTATTAGTAATATTACTTAAGCCAAACAAAAAAAAAGACTTGAGCTGATCGATTTTTCTTAAGAAAAATACTAGTGTAATAGTATTACTTACGTGTTAATGAGTCGAGATGAAAGGGTCACATATGAATTGATCCGAATCGAACTCGTGATTGTTGCTGATGGCCTGAATAATGAATACTGCCGACGGGTGAGAGAGAGGAAAGAACTTGGTAATTAAGGTGAAGACATATCACTGATGAAATGGTGAATGCTCGAAGATAGTATGACGCCATGATCGATGATTGTCTTTAACAAATATTAGTTATAGAAATCAAAGAGTCATATAACATAATCTAAAGGAAATAGGGTTAGAGTGGCGGTGGGTTTTTTTGGAAATCATAAGACATATAGGTGTTGTTTGTTTTTTCGAGACAAAATGTCTGCAATCTGCGGACCATATCTGTAGACCTCTACAGTAGAAGAGGTGAACCAAACATTTGCAGTCTGAAAGAAGAAGATTGTTTGTTTTTTAACATCTGTTGGCTGCTAGAATAAATTAAAATCTAATTAAACTGATTTTTTTTAAAAAATTAAAAGAGTTTTTCAATAATTTTATGACTTTATTATAGATAATTAACAAATGTAGATCTACCTTTTATGTATTATTTTATAAAAATAAAAATAAAATGGTACGTATTAAAGTATATATTTAATAAAAACCAACAAATTTTGGTCGCAAATTTATATATAAACATTGTAATTAGGGATAAAAAAAAATTAATACATATAATAGATGGAAATAAACTTTGATTTTAAATGAATATTTTAAAATTTTTCATTTTACTTTTTCAATTAAATAAATTAAAAACTGAACATAAATATCTTCCCAATAAATGAATGATGTTGCATTAAATAAAATTTTATAATATATGACACAAAAATATAAGACAATATTAAGATTTTTTTTCATATATATAATAGCTCCAATAACCATTATTATAATCAAATTTTTATTTATAAATTTGTTACAAATGTCATGATTGTGTCGTCAAACTTTTTTTCTTTAAGTATTGTAATTTTTTTATTAAAATTTTTTTATCATACATAAAGTTGGAGTAAATCTAATTTTAAAAAAAGAAAACAAAAAAACAAATATATATGTGTTTTTTTAGGTTAGAAGATGTCTGAAGATATTTGAAGACTCTGGTCCACTCTGCGCCAAGAAAAGGACGCGTAGACCTTTTTAGGTCTGCAGTCTTCAAAAAAACAAACAATCTGCAAAGCCTAATATCTGTGTGTGGTCTGCGCGGCGCAGATAAAAGAGGGCAAAAAGATCTGCAGACAAAAAACCAACAGCACCGTAGTC